ATCATTTTAACCACTTTATATTTGCATTTTAAACTTTTCAAAACTCCTTTGTATGCATTATTTTGTCTAATCCTCCCAACAGACCTATGAAGTAAGCAGGGTAGGTATTAGTGAATGAGAAATCAAAAAATAAGGTTACATGTAATTCAGAAAGTTGAATTACACACTGGAGGGACTGGAAAGATCCCTAGTGGCAATTCCTTTTGAAAGGTAAGACCAAGGCATGGAGATTTTAAATAACTTGTCCACGTTCAAATAGGCAATCAAAAATTGGAATTAAAATTAAAGTCTTAAGTGGCACCTACGGTTCAGTGGGTAGGGTGGTGGCCCCATATACCAAGAGTGGCAGGTTTGAACCTGGCCCCCCGCCAAACTGCAAAACAAAAAATTGGCTGGATGTTGTAGCAGGTGCCCGTAGTCCCAGCTACCTGGGAGGCTAAGGCAAGAGAGTCACCCAAGCCCAGGAATTGGAGGTTGCTGTGAGCTGTTGATGCCACAGCACTCTACTGAGGGTGAAAAAGTAAGACTCTGTTTCTAAAAAACAAAACAACAACAAAATAACCCCTAAAATCTTTTGATCTTGGCTTAACTCATTAAAATCTCCCTCAATTTTGCTTTAGATTAATGCCCTGATTATGTCCAAATTTATTCACCCTGAGATATGCTAAGTTGTATGCTGCTTGACAGAAGCCTGCTGTTCTTGTGTTAATCAAAAATTTTCTTTCTTCTTTCTTATTTGCTATCCTTAAAACTTTGTTAGTGTCTAAAACATTCCATCAAAGTGTTTCATTTCAATGTTAAGTTAGACACAAATGATGATAATTATGTTCCAAAGTTTTAGAAAATTATGCACAAATTATCAATTAAGCAAATGCTTCAACAGTTATATGCCTCATCAAGAGAAATTATGCAAACTCTGGGAGAATGACAATTTCACACAAGATGTTTTTATTTATTACATTTCCTAAATTGTTGTGGATAATTTCCAATAACATTATCAAAATATTACACCATTTACATTCCAGATGAAATTTTTGAGATCAGAAATTTTTCTCAAATGTGTTATAATTGTGCACCCCCATGCCAGTGTTAGGTATAGATATGAAGTATGAAAAGTTTGCCAAACTCAATGTCTCTTAAACTGTACTCATTATATCTCCTACAAGTCTATTTTTCCTTCAGTGTTCATTGCTTTGGATAGCATTGTCATCAGGCACCCATTTACTAGAATTTGAAACATCGTAATTAATTCTAATGTCTTCTTCCTTGCACCCCATTTCCCCATATCTAATATATAACCAAGTCCCATTGACTTTACTTGTGAAATAGATCCTAAATCTGTCTTCTCCATTTCCATTCTAATTTAAGTTCATATTCAGGCAGTAGTAAAGAAAAATGATGGAAGGAAGGGGTTGGATACATGTATAAATGTTAAAACACGGTGTCGTAGGTAAGATGCAGTGGTTCACATGTGTAATCCCCGTACTCTAGGAGGCCAAGCTGGGCACAGTGCTTGAGCTCAGGAGTTCAAGACCAACCTGAGCAAGGGCAAGAGCAGTCTCTACTAAAAATAATTTAAATAACCCCAAAACTATAGTCCCAGATGCTCAGAAGCTGAGGCATGATGATCTTTTGAGCCCAAGAGTTGGAGGTTGCTGTGAGCTGTGACACCATAGTACTCAATTATGGGGCAACAGAGTGAGACTCTGTCTCAAAAAACAAAACCAAACCAAACCCCAAAACACAGTCTTCTTTAATTTGTTTGGAGTCTTTGCTCTATCCAGCTCAGTTTAATAAAACAAACTTTTATTGAGCCCCTACTATGTGCTAGATAATCTAGTACAGTGGTTCTCAACCTTCCTAATGCTGTGACCCTTTAATACAGTTCCTCACGTTGTGGTGACCCCCCACCATAAAATTATTTTTGTTGCTACTAGTAAAATTACTAGTTGTAATTTTGCTACTGTTATGAATTGTAATATAAATATCTGATATGCAGGATGTATTTAGATGACCCCTGTGAAAGGGTCGTTTGACCCCCAAAGGGGTTGCAACCCACAGGTTGAGAACTGCTGATCTAGTAGGTTCTTGACGGTACAACAGTAACTATGAAACATGATTCAGGCCCTTAAGGAGATAGATAATCACAAATAATTACAATATAGTGAAAGACAGAGTATCCATGATAAATATGTAATTTACCTAAAAAGAGTTTAAAAGAAGGAGGCTGAGGTAGGTGGATTGCCTAAGCTCATGACTCCGAGATCACCCTGAGCAAAAGCAAGACCCCATTTCTTCTTCTTCTTTTTTTGTTTTTGAGACAAAGTCTCACTCTGTTGCCCTCGGTGGAGTGCTGTGGTGTCACAGCTCATAGCAAGCTCCAACGCTTGGGCTTAAGTGATTCTCTTGCCTCAGCCTCCCGAGTAGCTGGGACCATAGGTGCCTGCCACAACGCCTGGCTCTCTTTTATGGCAGTTGTCATTGCTGTTTTAGCTGGCTGGGGCTAGTTTCAAACCTGCCACCCTCAGTATATGGGGCTGGCACCCACTGAGCCACAGGCACTGCTGAGACCCCATTTCTACTGAAAAAAAAGAAATAGAAAAACTGAGGCAAGGCTCGGCACCCATAGCTCAGTGAGAAGGGCACCGGCCACATACACTGAAGCTGGCAGGTTTGAGCCTGGCCTGGGCCTGCTAAACAACAATGACAACTGCAACCAAAAAATAGCCAGGTGTTGTGGTAGTCCCAGCTACTCGGGAGGCTGAGGCAAGAGAATTGCTTCAGGGGTCCTCAAACTTTTTAAACAGGGAGCCAGTTCACTGTCCCTCAGACTGTTAGAGGGCTGGATTGCTGGCCCTGGAGCAAGTTGGCTGCTAAGCAGGACAGGCAGCAGCAGCAAAAACTCCTGGTGGGCCGGATAAATGTCCTAGGCAGGCCGTACTTTGAGGATGCCTGGGTACACTATGATGCCACAGCACTCTACCAAGGGTGACATAGTGAGACTCTGTCTCAAAAAAAAAAAAAAAAAAAAGGAAAGAAAGAAAGAAAAGAAAAGAAAAAGAATAACTGAGGCAAGAGGATTGCTTGAGCACAAGTGTTTGAGGTTGCTGTGAGCTGTGATGCCACAGCACTCTATGCAGGGTGACAACTTGATACTCTGTCTCAAAAAAAAAGTTTATAAAGAGGTGGCTTCAGAAAAGTTTTGATGATCTGTAGGCAGATTAGTGCTGGAAGTTTATTGTAGACAAAAGAACAACTTGTGAAAAGTTATGGAATTGGCTTCCTGGTAAAATAGCACATGATAGACCCTCTCTGGTCCAAATTTACATTATATATATATATATATATATATGTCATATGTATACAGTATATAAATGCAAAAAAGGAAAAACTTATAGCTGAACTTACAAGCAAGATAAACAACTGTTTGTACTGTTTGTACAGAGATAGAAAATGATGGGGACCTAAAGCCTCATGTTTGGGTGGCACTGGTCTAGAATTTGATGGTGGTTCTATGGATTAAAGGGAGCTAACCAGAATCCATGCAAGAAGGAGAACAATGATCAGGGTCTCTGTTTAAAGGCAGTAACTGGAATGGCTTCTCCTCTGAGGAGGGAAGAAAAAAAGCTATTGTCAATAATTTGTAGAAGCTTTTTTTAAAGTTGTTAAACACATTTATTGAGCTGTTAACAATAACCAAACACAATGTATGACCTTTGGAAAACAAGAAATAGCAAATGGATCAATTCCGATCTTGGCAAATCCTACTACAGATATGTGACAAAGAGAGAAATAATTCCATTTCTTTATAGTCTGCAGTGATATATATATATACAATGTGTAGCTCTTCAATGTCCATCCTTTTTTTTCTTTTTAAATTGTTGAGTAAACAGAAGAATCATAATCTAGAAATAGGCGTCCTAGGTCGACTTTGTCCTGGCTCCCCTGTTGGCAGCACCCTCAAAGAGTCTTAGGACACTATCTGAGATTACTTGATGCAAAGTCTGTTTAATGCTGTCAAAGCTGTGTTTTTCTCTTCTCTTTCTTTTGGAAGAATTGTGTATGCACAAAGGAGAAGATATGGCTTTTTGCATGATGAAAGTCTAGGAAGGTGAGAGAACACAGATTAACAGCGTTGGGACCTGGAACTGATTAATTCCCAGCTCATTATAAGAGACTAGTAGAACATTCATACTAAAGCAGCACAAGGATAACTTGGGGAAAGAAAATTACAAACCAATTTCATTTATGAACAATGATGTAAAAATTCTAATAAAATACTAGAAACTCAAATCCAACAATGTATAAAAATAATAACAATGATTCATGACCAAGTAGGTTTATCATAGGGATGCAAAGAACACATCAGATAATCTATTAATGTAATACCACAATAACTGATTTAAAAAGGAAAAATATACCAATTTAATAGATGCAGGAAAGAAAAAATTCAAAATTAATCCATGATTAAATTCTTAGTTTCAACTGCATCTGTCATGTTTAGTTTTCCAAAGGTTTGGAACAGCAATATTGGTAAAATGTTGATAATTATATAAGTGAGATGGTGGAGATTCATTATATTATTCTATCTACTTTTGTGTATGTTCAAAATTTTCCATAATAAAAAAGTTTAAAAATACTCAGAGGTTAAAGAATAATTTTTTTAAAGATAGCAAAAATGTTTATTTGAAAAAATTACTGTTTTGAAAATACACACTAGCAATTATTACATACTTCCATACCATTTCCTTCCCCCACTAGTAAAGTACAACTATCTGCTTAGTATGTTAATGCCATTGGCAAATTCAAACAAAAAGTAAATCAACATCAGTCCCTGTTCCTCATTCATTAGAGCTGGGGGGTGGGAGGGTGGGGTGGCAGAAAGGTCAACTTGTATCCACTAATCATTCAAATTTAACAAGTCCCAGTCTTCCACAGCAAGATGGACATATTTCTGCTTTGAAGACTGTGAAGAGCTATTCTGTTCCTTCTCTGACTCCTCAAAAACTCTCTTTTTGCACTGTTGACTCCTGGCTTGAGACAGCTTCACATTTCAACAATGTCCCATGGCAGTCCAGGGTTTTCTCTCTATAGAACTGTAGTTTCTCTGAAGAGTTTATGTGGATGTCTGCCGGAGGACACTTCACTGGAGCTTCTGCTTGAGCCCACTTCCCATGGAAGTGCTGAGCTGCTGTTCGTGGCTCTGAGGTTTCCCGTGGCTTTGCAGCTTCCGCAGTCATACGCTCCCATTGCAGAATGATGTGGTCAGCCCAGCCCTCTGTCTTGCAGTTACTATGATCAAATTCCTTCAAAGGCACATTGGAGTGAATAAGGCCTATGTGAGTCTGGAGCTCGTGCTTGACAGCTTTGATGTCCTTAAGCCCAGTCCCAGAGATATCTAAGCAGTTGAGTTTTCTAAAAGAAAAGAGGTATCTTATTCCTGCGTCTGTAATCTCAGGGTTACATGACAGGTCTAATAATGCTAGATTTTCAAGGCCTCTTTTCATCACTCTAACTGGTGCTGTCATTTTCTGTACCCCAGCATCAGATAAACAATTATCCTTCAGGTGGAGTTGAGTTATGGTAGACAGGGCTTCACTGGTGAGATGTTCTAAAAGTTCATGCTCATCTCCAAGCTTGCAACAGGAAAGATCCAGGCAGGTCAGATCCCGGAAAGACTTAATCTCCTCAAGTTTTTCTGAAATCACCAGATACCTGTTTCTCAAACACAAGGAGCAAAGCACTAGACTTCCATAGGCCTCAGTGAATATCTGTAAAGCCCTCAGCCCCACCCCTGGCTCTGTGAATTTCTGTCTGGCTTCAGCTTCAGAGAACAGCTTTTCAGCAATCTGCTCAGGAAAGCCAACAAGGGAATCAATCTGATCAACATTGTCAGAGATGAAGCCCAGGATAAGGCTGAAGAGGGATTTGGGGGAGTACCGAAGATTTCCTTCCCGGGTATACGTGAAGATGAAATGATCAGTCTTCTCTTTCTGTGCAGTATCATCTTCTCCATTCATGCATAGCTCCACGGAAAAGCCTTTGGGACACAGTCTGACAGGTCTTGGTTTCTGTAGGCCACTCTTGACATCATCCAGAGCCCTATTGACCACGTGCAGCTGCCCATTTTCTTGCACGTAGATGGGCCTTGAGTCCAGGTGGCTTTCTGAGTAGTAAGACATTATCATAATTTTGACTCTTTGATCCCTTTGGCACTCACTGGTTCAAGCTGGAGGTGGGGGGAAGGTTGGAGAAAGGAGATAAAAAAATAGTTGGCATCTGAGGAAAGAGCTGGTGGGAACACAGTCAGGAGAGTTACAATGAGGCCTCCCTTCTTCCCTCTGCCAGGGTAGAAATTACTCACATCCACACACCAAGAAAACATCTGTCAACCATGGCCTTCATCCCAAGGCTGCAGGCACCCATGGTTTATTTGAAAATGTAATATTCTTGAGAAAATTTCCTGCATTAAAACTTGAACAGACACTAGTGCTGTACTACCAATAACTGGCTAACAATCCACTTAATTGTTCCGTGTCCCCACCATTATTCAATTTTCAACTCTCTTTGCTACTTTTCCTCTAGTCATTTGCACTTCTCTTCCTGCCTTTTCACCCATACCTCTTCCTCACTCATGCTCTAGAGATTCTAATCACTCCCAGCTCCCCACTTCCACACAAAAACATGCCAAACTCTCCCCTATCTTCACAGGCTTTTCAACTCTAGAGCTTCTCATACAAAATCCAATCCCCACACCAAAAATCCTGACTTCCCTCTCATCTCTCAAACCTTATACACTTCCAATTCTTCCAGGCTCCCTTTGAAATGTGGCTAGCCATCCCCTAGACCCAAGCACCTTCATCTTCCTCCCCTTCCTCCCCCACACCACTCCACCCCTTACCATCTGTTCTTCCCTTCGACTCCCATGGCTTCCCTCTCCTAGGACCCCAATCTTTTCATCCTTTTCCTTGTCTTCTGTTCTCAACCTTTAAAATCCCCTTCCTTCACAATCTACAACTCCAATTTCTTTTCTCCCTACCCCCAAGACCCCACCTTTTCCCCTATTCTAACCCTAGCTCCTTTCGTCCTCACATCTCTGAAATCTCATTCCTCTTTCCCTTTGCCCAGGACATCAATCTTTTGTCTCTTTTTCAATTCTCATGTTTGCCCCTCCCTGAGCCCACTCAAGTTAATGTTGCTCTCTCTCCCACCTTGGCTGCGAACCCCAATTTTCATACATCCCTGCAGGCTACCCCAGCACCTCAAACCCACCCTTAAAGCAAGGTCTCCCACCCTTAAAGCAAGGTCTCCCACCCTTAAAGCAAGGTCTCCCACCTTCCCCTCAACCTGCCCCCTCATCCTGTCCCTCCCATGCTTCCTTTCAGGTTAAAGAATAATCTAAAGCAAATAGAGCCAAATGATAGGCATGTATATGGATTTTTTTTTTTTTTTGAGACAGTCTCAGTCACCCTTGGTAGGGTGCCATGGTGTCAGAGCTCATAGCAACCTCAAACTCTTGGGCTCAGGTGACCATCTTGCCTTGCCCTCCTGAGTAGTTGGGACTACAGGCACCTGCCACAAGGCTGGGCTATTTGTTTTATAGAGACAGGGTCTCCCTTTGGCTTAGGCTGGTCTCAAACTCCTGAGCTCAGGCAATCCATCTGTCTCAGCCTCTCAGAGTGCTAGTATTATAGGCAGGAGTCACCGTGCCTGGACAATATGGATATTTGATATAGTATCTTTATGATTTTTGATGTCTGAGACATTTTACAATTAAAAAACAAAACACAAAACGAAAGGCATGATGTGCCCCAAAACAAGGTTTCTTTGGGTCAATAAATAATCTGGTACTCAATAATCTTGAGATGTCCTAAAAAAAAAAATGGTCTAGGACTAGGAAATGGTAGTAAATAATATTGGAGAGGTAAGAAGGGATAGGGTCTTTACAGGCTTTGCATATCATGATAAGAAAATTAGACTTCCTGGAATCCTAGCATTCTGGGAGGCCAAGGTGGGTGGATTACTTGAGCTCAGGAGTTCCAGACCAGCTTGAGAAAGAGCGAGACCCTGTCTTTAGAAAAAAAAAAAAAGAGAGAGCTGGGTGTCTTATTAGGTACCTGTAGTTCCAGCTACTCGAGAGGCTGAGGCAAGAGGATCTCTTGAGCCCAAGAGTTGGAGGTTGTTGTGAGTTATGACGTGACAGCACTCTATTCAGGGTAATGGAGTGAGACTCTGTCAAAAAAAAGAGAGAGAGAGAGTTAGATTTTCTGCTGAGGAAATAAAGAGTGGAAAGCGAAGCTTTGCATAGAATATTGTAATAATGTTAATAATGATAAATAATATATTTGTATAGTTCATACTGATACAGCACTTGTTATGCATCAGGCTTTGTTATAAGTGCTTTACAAACATTGACTCAATATTCACAACAATCTTTTGACCTTGGTTCTACTCTAAGCTCTATTTTACAGATGAGTAAATGAAGGCACAGAGAGGTTAAGTAACTTGTCAAAGTCACACAGCTTGTAACTGGCTTCAAACCAGGAGTCTATCTCAACGTCCATGCTCTAGTCCTGTGCTGTCCAATATAGTAATCACTAGCCTTATTTAATTCAGTACCTAAGTTGTACTAGGCAGATTTCAAGTACTCACTTCCCATATACACTTAATGGATAGCACAGATCTAGAAAGTTTCCATCACTGCAGGAAGTTTTATTAGACAGCACTACTTTGCTGTTAATTATTATTATGATCACTTAATATTGAATTCTTTCTTCCAGAGGCAGTACGATTTTTTTTTTTTTGAGATAGGATCTTGTTCTGTTGCCCAAACTAGAGCCTACTACAACCTCAAATTCTTGTGCTCAAGTGATTCTCCTGCCTCAGCTTTCTGATTGTCTCGATCTACAAGTGCGTTTGTAGAGTCAGGATCTTGCTCTGTTGTTCAGATGTTCTTGAACTTCTGGCCTCAAGCAATCCTCCTACTTCAGCCTCCCAAAGTGCTGAAATTATCTGCATGAGCCACCACACCCAGCCTAGAAGCATTAAGTTTTTGGACATTCTTCAAGAGAGGGTTTTTCAACTTCAGTATTATTAATATTTTGGGTTGTATAACTACTTACAGTGCTGTGCATTGTAAGATGTTGAGCAGCATCCCTGGCCTCTACCTGCTAGATGCCAGTAGCACTCTCCACCCCAACTTTTGACAATCAATGTCTCCAGACATTGCCAAATGTCCCTTGGAGGAACAAAATTGCCCTTAGTGGAGAACTACTGATTAAAACACTAATTCAATGACATAGTAAGATGTATATTTTGATTTATTCTCAAATTTACAGAGATACTTTATATTTTGTGGATTAATGTTTTACCTCTACATCAATCCTTTTTTTTTTTTTTCTTGGCTGGGGCTGGGTTAGAACTCACCACCTCCAGCATATGAGGCCGGTGCCCTACTCCTTGAGCCACAGGCGCCACCCTCTCTATGTCAATCCTTACAAGCATGTCCATGGAAACCTATCTCAATGAGGTTGCAATGAGGTTTACAGTAGCAGTGAATAAAAGCCAGAAATTCTTATTTGTAATAGTTGATATTTCTGTGGTCTACGTGACATTTCTTTAGTGATTTTGAGAAAAAGACAAACTCGTAATAATGTTTACAGTTCTCTGGTCCTAAACACTACCCTGACTTCTAACACCATAGATTAACTTTGCTTGTTTTTGAGTTGGCCAACTTTTTCTTAAAGAGCCAGAGAGCGAACATTTTAGGCTTACAGCCCAGATGTTCTCAGTCACAACTACTCAACTTTGCAGTTGTAACAAGTAGTCAAGACACACATGGCTGGGGGCTGTGGCTCACGCTTGTAATCCCCGTACTCTGGGAGGTCAAGGCAGGTGAACTGCTTGAGCTCAGGAGTTGGAGAGCAGCCTGAGCAAGAGTGAGATCACATCTTTAAAAAATAGCTGGGCATTGTGGTGGGTGTCTATAGTCCCAGCTACTTGGAAGTCTGAGGCAAAAGAATCACTTGAGCCCAAGAGTTTGAGGTTGCTGAGATCTATGATGCCACAGCACTTTTCCAAGGGTGACAAAGTGGGACTGTCTCAAAACAAAAAGAAAAACAAAAACAAGACACACAAATGAGTGTGGCTGTATTGCAATAAAACCAAACCCAATCTATGGCATCAAGGCCTTCCCTAAGTTGACACTGCCCCCCTTTTGCATGTATTTTATTAGATTTATTCCTTAGTACTTCACATTTTGTGATGATATTGTAAATGACATTTATAAAAACATTTCATTTTCTAAATGTCTGTGACTAACACACAGAAATGCAATTGTTTTTATATCTAGCACTTTGGGTAAAGTTTTATATAAATTCTTTTATATTTTTCAATACATACAATCACATTATCTTCAAATAACAATGATTTGATTTCCTCCCTTTCAGTATATATAGTTATTTTTATTGTGTTATTTAATAAACTAGGACCTTGAACACAATGTAGTAGTAGGAATCCTTGATCTCAAAGGGGAAACTTTTGTTGTTTTGGCATTCAGTAGGATGCTTAATGTAGCTTTTTGAGTAGAACCCCTTTATCAACTTAAGGAAGTTTCCTTTCTAGTCCCAGTTTGCTAAGATTTTTCTTCTTTTAATGAGGAAGGATTTGAACTTTTTCAAAGGCATTTTTGCATTTATTGGGATAATCATAGGAATCTGTGCATTTGACCAATTTATATCATCAATTACGTTCAACTGCTTTCCTTTTTCCTCTTATACCATTGTTCTTCTATCTTGAAATACATGCATAGAGTGTGTATAAAATACAAATAATTAATTTAAAGAATAATTACAACAAAGAGACCACCTGTGTAACTGTAAGCCAGGTTAGGACACAGTACCTCAGAAATTCCATTATTGCCTCCCCAATTTTAACTCCCTCTTCCTTCCCAGATGTAACCATATTTCTCACTTTTGTCACAATTCCCTGTTTTGTGAAAAATAGTTTTACTTTCATGTATGCATTCTTTAATATTCTGTAACATTTGTTTTGCTTTTATTTTTAGTATTTTAATTTTTGAGTTTTTCCTTTTTTATCATTTTTATTTCAAAATATTAGGAGGTATTTATTTTTTAATTTTAAAATGTATTTATTTACCTATTTAGAGACAGGGTCTTACTTTGTCATGCCATCTCACAATAGCTCACTGCAATCTCAAACTCCC